AGGTATCTACAGTTAAGTTAACAACACCCTTGATTAATTCCCTAAAGTAATAGTAATTGTTTGTCCCAAGTCTGAGGGCATTTGCAATTTATTTATTAAGAAGGTGTTGTGGACCCCTGTGAAATAATCCTGCCTCCGATTCTGTCAGGTGATTCTGTATGCATAGCTACCCCCCAGCGTCACATAGTGACCTGGCCACTGTTCTACAAGAGGAATGGCTGAAAATTCCTCTGGCCACTGTGCAGGACTTGAATCTGTCAGTCCCAATACAAACTGATGCTGTATTGGCTGCAAAAGGAGGCTGTACACTATAATAAAAAAATTATTGTGGTCTAAAACCAGGTATTACAGTTTCATCGTCCAGCCCCTATAAGTTTGTTGTAAAAGCAAAGTGGCATAAAATGAACATTCGTAAAGCAGCAGATACCTGTACGCTCCTCTATTTACGAACGAATTACTTTCCGGACGGCCGTTCGTAACTTGAAATGTTCATAAGTAGAAGAGTGTCTCTATATGCAAAAAAGCAAATGTCAACTTGCAATGAAAATTCTAAACTTGTATCTGAACATTAGAAACTGACAGTTTTTTTAAAAAAGGGGGGGGTTTTATGGGAAAACAGCTACCTAACTAACATGAGGAGGTCTGTAAGATGTCTGCCTTTTCAGTCACAGTTAGTAGAAGGCTGAGGGTTGGGAGACGCTCTGAATTGGTGATTGGTCCATTATTTGTTTAAATGGTGCTGTAACAGCACAGTAACACTACTTTCACCAGTACTATGTGTCCTTACCTTCACTGTGAGGGTCCACATGGCGAAGTTGGCTCAGTGGTTTCTTGTCTTTATAATGTGATGTTCTGAGTTCTGACAGGGCCACACTTATTTTGCTTTTTTTCTTGATCCCTTGTAAATAATGAGTTATCGTTCTTTCTAAGAGATTTTCCTGCGAATACAGAACAACATTGGTCCTGTGTGCTGACTTAGGGTTGGCTGGTCTTCAGGAAGCGGTGAAGGTGATTGGATGCCTCTGTGGTATCCCTGTCTCCACCTGCCACATGACTGGCCTCTCCAAGTCCAACTGTATCAAAGCAGTGTCCTCCACAGGGCTTCCCGGCTGTATTTGCACCCTGTGGTGATTCTTGTCCCCCTTCTGCATGCTTTCAGGAATGTAAGTTTCAAGGGGGACCAGGAAAGGTTCTTGTTAATCTTCCAATGTGTGAGCAGCCAGACCAAAGTCTTAATTTCTGATGTAGACGCTTGCTAAGTGTCTCCAAACGCAGGAGCCTACTCTTGCCTCTATCAAAATATCACAATAATGCAAGACAAAGATGTGCATTGGATTTTTGGTTTAGATATTCTGAATTTGTATATTTATTCCAGGGGTGCCCAACCCAGTGTTCCCATGTCGATTGCGAGATGATTAATGGATAAGGCTTTATTTCATTGGTGGTCAGCTGGTGGTCAACCTCTCTTTGTAAAATTATTACTGCAAAAAAAAAAAAAGGTTGGGCACCGCTGGCTTTACATTTGATTTTATTTCTCCAAAAAAAAGATGCATTAGGCATTGACAGCAACAGGGCCTCAGGGTCTGGATGCTTCTTGATTTTGAGGACCTCCTCATGACCTCGCTAATGGCGCTCTACTTTTTGCACAATCCATTGAGGCTAGCCACTTCCTGAATGGTGCGATGCTGCTGGACACATGGACTTAAGCAAGGTTGTGGAGTCGCACAGGGCAGTGTGGTGAGGAGGAGGAGACTGGGGTGAGTTTTTGAAACAATTTATTGTATAAGTGTGTGAGTGTCAGCAATGTAAAGTAAAGAACAAATAGTGCATACAATGCAGTTTGCGCTTTTGTGGGTTGAGTCTGAAATCATTTACGTATACAGTAAGTACTAAATTTTATTAGAAGCCTTCCATCTGGCCCTAAATGTAGTAAATACTGTACACTCCTGCCAAAAAGTTACGACCACCTCCACGTGAAGTGACTATCTTGTAAAAACTGTTTGTGTCAAGATCTGGGATTTATTAGAGGGTAACCTAACATTCACTACTCATCGTCAACATATTGAATGCAGAAGAAATGGACAGGGATAAAGATCTGAGTGACTTTGACAAGGACAAAATCATTATGGCCGAATGAGTGGTCGGGGCATCTCTGAGATGATGGGGCCTGTGGTGAGCTCAGCGTCGGCCCTGGGGAGTACCTGCTAGGAGGGATAAAGCATGAACTGCTAACAGGGTTTGGGTGGTCAACAACGAAGACATATGAGCCAAGTTAAAAACTCAATGAAAAAAATATTTTCATTCAAAAGGTATTTATGCTTAGATTTGTACAGATACAGCACTTCCTCCTTTATCTTGACACAAATTTCTGAGCAAGCGATGGAATGTTGCTTTGGACGAAAGCATCCCCTACCTGAATGTAGTAGCGGTAGTAATAATATGCTTCTTTACAGAGCATTTATAAAAACTTCCACAAATGTCAACTTTCCCATATAATTAGTCAGAGTCACGTCTTTTGAATAAATCACTGTGGTTTCTTATGTAACAGCTTTTGTTCTTTCTGGTCCTGCTTGACCTAATGTGTTGAAAGGTTTCAATTCTGCTTCCTTAATCAGAGGTTGTCTGAGCTGTGACTAAAGGCATGTTCTGCTGTCCCTGCTGAGCTCCCCGGCACACCATAGCACACTCTGCGCCTCAGGGAGGCTTTTTCATTACAAATACAGTATTAAATTCAGCACCCTGTTCAAATTCTTTGTTTTGAAAAATAAAAATTTGATTTATTGAATGAACATGGCGCACGGTGGGTAAGGGTCTTGTGAGTATTGATACTTTTATTACAAATGGGGTCTTTGGCCCCATTTGTTTTTAATGGCAACCTCTGTGAATGAATGTGTTGCTGCCTTGTCATGACCAGCAGGATGAGTACTGTCAAATATCTCTTCTTTTCTAGGTGCATTATCATAGTTTGGACCGCAGGGGGAAGTAAAACACATGAATGCCTTTCTTGGATTTGTCTCTGTTTCCGTTGAAATTAATTTGGTATGTAAACACCCCCAAATTCAGTTTTCTCTACTTTCTCACCAGGGGGAGCTATTTCATGTAAATATTGACAACCTCTGCACTAGAAACGCCAAAATGGGCCCAGCCTTCAGTGTCACAATTGTACGCAGAATATTCTGTTTAATTTTGGAAAACTCTTTCTGTAAATCAGATTTACTGACAGCCAGTCAGACAATCAGACAGGCCTTTGTAGACTAGTGAGTTAAACTATGCCAGATCTTTCCTGAAAGCATACGTCATATGTCAGGGGTTCCCAACTATTTTTTCCCAAGGGCCGAATTCCATTAGCAACACAAAGGCAAGGTCCACTGCAACTAAAGTGCAGACAGTAAACTACACCAACCAAGAGGACCTCCCACTGATTTGCCGACTGGAGAGGTGATGGATTGGATGCAGGCCGGAGTCAGCCAGTTGGTGACCGCTGCTGTATATAAATGCAAGTATGTTGCTTTTCCCTGGATGGGGTATACGTATGGTTTGGGACTGCTTTGCAGCCACCACAGACCCTTTCTGGTTAGTACGAGAAAGTGATAGGTATGATATGAATAATGTTAACAGTATAATCTAATGGCAGACTCTAAGCAGCGGCAAATGATTTACATTAAATCTTTGCCACTTGTGTGATCTGCTGCTCATTTTCCTGAACAAATTATATGTTATCAAACCTAATTTGTATATGGAGTCCCTCTCGTGACATATACGCCTACCAATAAAAATAATATATTTCATGACCACATTTAAATATATTGTGGGAACGAATTAGTAAAACGTGTCCACAATATAACAAAAATGAGGGTACGAATTACTAAAACGTGGCCGCGATTTATCTAAAATGAGGGAATTTGGTAAAGCGCCCTATCTCTCGATGTTCTGCAGAAGAACCGCTCGCTGATAATTCCTTGCATTGCAAAATTTTAAGAATGTGTTTGTAGTTCCTTCCAACCTATGCTTGCCACTTGCAATCTGATAAAATACTGGGTCTTCCCTCACGATAAAATCTGAATTATGCAGGCGGCGTGGAGGAGTGTCGAACATCAAATACTGCACAGATAGCACTGCATATTGGTTCAAGACAGGACACCGCACTTTGTTTTTCAATTTGGGGCGATCCCATAAAATACGGGATGGGCGGCAGCTATATTCCAATGTTAAAATTAATCTCAACACCTCAGTTAAACTATCTGGCCATTCCAGCAGATGTATAGTGGCCTAAGTGAAACTCATGCATTAGGTTACGTAGTGAAATGTGACCACGATTTAACTAAAACGTTTTCCGGAAGTAACTTGTCGCTTCCGAGGGTAACGCCTCTTGTGTTGCATGAACAAAACCAAAATAAAATGTGTGTTACCCGTTTTTTTCCTTTTTTTAATTTGAGCACAAAATCGGAAATGACATAGTCCTAATCCGTTTTCGCATATTGGTTTTGGAAACTAATATTGAAAAAACAAGTGTTTTTGACTTTCGGTTTTATTTAGAAAAAGAATGAATGATACACGGATTCTTTTTTCGAAAAGGCTTCTCCGGTATATTCATGGAGGAAACCCGTGTATTTGAGGAATGTCAGTGGTTCAGCAGTTTTATTCTTACAAAATCAGTTTATTTCAGAAAACAATACATATACTGTATATAGGAGAGGGTGCACACAGTAGAAAGAACGTGAAATGGGTGACCAAGGTGACTCTGCTGAATTGGACATCTGGGCTTCATTCTGCAGAGCCCTTGATTCTAGATGAGCTGGATTTTTCAATTCCTGATTTCCCAATTAAGTAGCTGGACTCGTTCAATAGGGATCTGGTCCTGTTTTATCCCGGGTTAACCGCACCACAGAAATGCATGAGGCTTTGAAGTCCGCTCCCAACATAATTCTGGTAAGACCAGTGATTATGTAATTCATTTAATGGGTCTATACATTATTGCTGTAGATAAGCTGTAAATCATGTACATCAATACAGATAAATACATTTATGCAGGCTACATAAATTGACTCATGAATAGGCAATATTCAAAAGCAGGACAGATCAATCCATACCCTTTGAATGTAGACTGCCTCAGTCCAGGACTGAAGGAGTTTAGGCCCCTTTAACACACAACCCACTAAAATATTAGTATTAGTAGAAATAGTGCATATCGGAAGTTAAGCATCATTTAAATATCCTTTTTTAAAAACACTGATAATACACAGAAGGAAATGGGATATAATGCATCGGAATAACTGATCAACTGTAATGTGATTGTCCAGTGAAATCTGTACTTCCTGTGTGCATCCATAAATGGTAATGCATAGTGTTAATTTGCTAACATGTCAGATGCTGTAGTTTCTTTTTTGCCTTTTTCCTTTTTTGGGGGGGCTGTATCTGCTTCCGGTAACTTTTATTCTCATTGTTCAAAGAGGGTATTGGATATTCTTTCATACCCCCAGTTTAGAAACATAAAAATGATAAACAAGGTTTTCTACACAAATTATTATGCTGCCTTTTACTTCTGGAAAACGACAGAGAGAACATGTCCAGTATGACTAAAGCTTAATGGCCTGCTGCTTCAGACACCGTGCAGACTAGGGACTCTGTGGACGGGGCCTAGTCGCCGTCCACGGCCATGATGTGCACAAAGAGTCTGGCTGAGGGAATGAAGTCGCCGCAGTTGTTGAGCAGGGGCACGTGTCTGTATCCTGTGGGTAAAGGAGAAAGCTTTGTTAATGTGCTTGCCATCTGGACTTTGGCCGGCCGTGAAAGACGCCAGCAGGTCGACGTTAAGTTTCAGGACAGGCCTCACTGCAACAATGCAGAGAGAAGCGTGACCTCACCGGATAGTGTGACCAGTCTCACTACTACTTCTTTACGATTCCTTTCATTCAATTAGATAATTCTGGCTAATGTACAATGTTTGCTACTGGGTATTCTCTCAAGTAATCCTCATGTGATACTACCTGCTAATGGCTAAAAAAATGTGCCGCCTTCAAATACAGAGCAAGTCTAAGATCGTCGCTGATAGTCCTGCAGCTGGCAGGCCTGCTGATCTTTCTGCGACCACATGGAAGGGAAATTCAAGAGCCCAGCACAGATATCCCTAAGGGCTCCCTTTTTCTTTGAAGGTCTCATACTTTGAGTTTCCCCAAACGTGACACCGTTTTCACCCTAAGGAAAGTAACAATGCCCTCAACTTATTATTTTTTTAAAAGTGTCTTCAATGTCCATGTTGACACAGAGCACAAAGGCTGGTCTGATTGGTGGAGCTATTTTTAAGTCAGACTTCTGTGGAAGAAAACACTTGGATTCTGCTTTGTTGGGCATCTGGGTGTAGCCCCTACTGAAAGGCTGGGAGAAGAGTAAGGAGTGCCATCATAAGTGAGCAAAACATACTTTAAAAAAAAAAAAACAACACGTAAGATGGATTTTTTTTGGAGCCTGAACCATGAGTACAATGTTGTCAGACTGATAAATTCTCAAATATCCAAAACATTCCTCTTCGTTTTCTGCTGTCTTTTCCCTATTAAGCAAAAGACAAAGTTTACAAATTTCCAAATATGGTTCTGGCCAACTGAAATCATGTATTCCGTGTTGACAGACTGCGGGCAAAGAGATCACATTTCAGGTGGAGGTAGGGCAGGTCTGCAAGCCCAGAGGACGACTCACCATTCTGTAAACTGGAGAAGGGCACGGTGTACTGTCCAATGAGGTCGTTCTGAGTGACAGCATCATAGTCCTCTACCACAAAGCGCACCAGGGCCAGTTCAGGCACACAAATCTCAAACTGGAAGTTCTCGTTCCACATGGGGGAGAAACCTGATATGGAATGGGGGAGACAAAGCAACAGTCACTGTCTATGGGTGTTTAGCACGATTCTGGCATGATTCATTCTGGGCTTTTCCTAACAACCCCGTATTTTCGCACAGGCCAGAACACACAGGCTCCCAGTAGGGGAACAGAAAGGAGGAAGAAGATGACTACCATTGTTGTCGATGTGGTGCGTCTGTTTGCTGGCCAAATCCTGCTGCACACCATAGATCTCCACCTTCACAAGGGGGTCAACGATGGATGACTCCTTCTTGCTGAGCTTGGGCAACTGCTGAGCTGAGATGATCTGATGAGACATACATATCCATGACTTCACCACTAGCACAGACTTTAGAATTGATAAACAACTGGGGGAACAGCCATAGGATTATGGCTCCACCCTTTTGTGGTAAAATGGTGGTTTGATGTTTGGGGAGGGTGGTAATACGTGGAACCCTGTTTGCCTGTGAGAAAGTCAACACTAACTTGAGGGCCTGAAGGTACTGGCTTGACCAAACAAGCATTAGGGGAGCCTGATGTGGTCACCCACCATGACATGGAGGGTCTTGTGCTGCAGCCAGGGTCCCCTTGTGAGCGTGATGGGATCGAACTCTGTTGCTTCGTCCTGCAGGAAGGCTGGTTTAAGGATGTAGCCAGTCTTTCCATTGGGCAAGAACAACCCTTGGTTAAGGTCCATCTCAGCAGAGGGTGTCTGGAAGTTTAAGGCCACTGCAGACCAAGAGAAAAGATGAGGCAACTTAATGAGTATCATGGATAAATAAGCAATGAAGTCTTTTGCTCAGTAGAAGTGCCTGAAAGAGGGTGGAAATCAGTTTTAAGGAGAGTTTGAGGCCAGGTACCTATCTGGCAGCCAGCGGTCCACAGAGGGACGGGGTTATAGTTGGAGGAGTCAGTTCTTGAGCCTGCTGGATAGACTCTGCTGAGCTTGTTCACATTGTGGTGAATGAATTCATTTGCTGGAATGATATGGAGAACATCTCAATCAAACCGTTAGGAGACCAAGGAATTATCATTAAATGCCATGTACTGTTCATGCTGTCGGTGATACCATCAAGTTCCTCTGGCACACCCTGGTGTTGCCAAGCGTCCTTTTGGATGCACTACCTGAATCTACAGCCAGCTTCTCAGCTTTGCTCTCCTTGAAGGAGCACATCTCATAAAAAGCCTGGTTGTCCCTTGTATGGTCGAACCCGTGGAAATGCACGCTCTTGCAATAGATGACAAGATCTGAGAGTTCCTTTGCCAGCTTCAGCTTAGATTCCTGCAAATTGAATGAACGGGGCATGTTGGGTATTTTGGAACCCCGACCCTAACCCTACCCTTCGATCCTTCCTGCTCAGACCTTGAGGTATCAGCTCACCTTCTCTTTCTTCTCTTCGTCTGTCAGTATGTCTGCGGCTTCGTCATCCTCAGACACTGTTTCCTCGCCTGCTGCATTACCAGCAAAAGCGTCCTCCAAGCTGTTCAGCTTCTTCCCCTTTATCAGGAAGCGGCCCTTCAGCTCCTAGTGGGTCACATGGTTGCTCACACAGTACCTCTTAAAGGGGAGGGTCGTTATCTCTCAGCAACCTGTATGCTACGACGGAGCCGACCGATTCAGTTTTTTTTTTAACAGGCCCCCATTTCATATCCTACTAATACCTGAATATGTATCTGTCAGCTGCAACATGAATGAAAATATATAACATCCTTGCTTCTGAATGTTTAGTCCATTCACGCTGTGTCTTGTAAAATGTCTCCGAAGGCGCAAACTTTTCATAATATGATGCCTGTTACAGGCCTTAACGCCATGCGAGTCTGACAGAACGCCACAGCTCTTGTTCAAGAGGGCTGGAAGCCCCTGGATCACATACAACCCTTCTCCTTCTCCACCCATGGCTATAGCAGGGGTAAGATTTTTTTTCTTTTTTTTTTATCTGCTAGGCCAGGTCACAGCCATTTAACCTGTGTCTGTCATGTCTGACTTTTGCAACAAATTGGAAAAATACGCCGTATAGTCTGCTCATGATAAAAAATAGATAAAAAATAGCCTCTCAGTGGAAACAAGTAAAGTCCTGAGCTCCACAAAGTGAATGCGAGGTATGTAAACAGGGTCCAAGCAAAGTGGGCGTGAGTTTATTGCGTAGGACACAGATAAACAAAACTACACTCGGCCGGCGGCCAGCTGGAGGTGGGTAGACTATTATGCAATGTATAATTACAAATTCTTTGCAGTCAAAACATGATCATAGTTATTATGAGTTATATTTGGATAAACAGTCAAAAGTAGCTCCCTACGCATCTTTGATGTGACACTGCACACCTTACTATTCTCTCCTAGCTGACAACATTCTGCCCTAGTTGGTGCATTTTCTTTAAGGTGGGGGTCAGCTGACAAGCTTCCTGGCACTGATGTCGTTCCAGAAACTTCTCCCTGATGTCAGTAGATACCATGCTGCCAGAATGTGGTGCTGCGATATCCCTGGGATTATATTATATATGTCAGAAATCATGTCTGGACACAACATGCATTTCAACTTGAGGGGGAATTCAGAAAAGTCACGCATTCGCCACTTGTCCAGCGGAGACGGAACAAATTTCAGCACTAAGTGGCCGAAAAGAAAACAAGTTGTATGAATTCCACAAATTCCTTCTGGGTGATTCCAGAAAACCCCCTCCTATCCAAACTGTGGGCACCCTGCCCTAAACTCACTGCCCTCTCTGTCCACCCTCTAGGTTGCTTTCAGTAAATACCACAAATAGACGCCTGGTGTTCGGCTGCACGCGCAGCGCCTTCCAGCGAGGCCAACAGACCCCACTTTGTGGTGATGGTCCAAAAGGATGTTTGGTCTGAGACATTAACCTGCAAAGCGAGGTGAGGAAAATTCTGCCTGGTATTATTCAGTGAAATAGGCATATTTATCTTCATCGTCTGTAATTGTTTCTTGTTTAAACCTGTATCTCTCTAGTTATACCCCCCCCCCCAAAAAAAAAGAAAACCCACCTCTGTCATGGATTTATCAGGGAAGGTGCCTTAAAGGCGGGTCTGGATAGCTGATAGCAATGTTAGGGAATGGTACCTTGATTGAAGAGCAAGTGGCAGGTTTTAACTGAAGTTACACCAGTAGACCTAAAGGTGGCAGTATTTAACGGGAGCAAAAAATCAACCATCTATACATTCCCATGATGACTTCGCCTACCCCATCTTAACTCCCAAATGCACCCTTGCTCAAGGGCCCAATGGCAGCATCAGTCTGCCGGTCCTGTGATTTGAACCGGTGACCTTCCAATCTCAGGCATGGAGTCCCATCACGCTAAGCTACACACCTATCCTATCCTATCCAAATCCTATCCAAAGCCATTTGTTAAGAATGTAACAGGTAAATTATGTGAATCAAGACTTTTTATGACTTAAAGGCGAGGCTCACCTCCATGGTCTCGGTCACTAAACGTGCTTGAAAACTACTCACCTCTAGTGCTGGGAAGGTGGTGGGAACCTGGTCTCCCAGAGGTTTGGTGAGCAGAGCGTCACCTAGAATGGAAGTCAAGTGTTCGGCCATGATCTTCTGTTGTTCCATGCTGCAGTGGTTCTCCAGGGACAGGATTACCGGATACTCGGAAGTCTGTGAGTAGAGGGGATTCATGCACCGGATGCACTCTTGCATATTATTGTTGCAAATGTTTTCCCCCTAATAAATAATTTCATGTCAGGAAGTATTTCCTATTATCAAAGCTTCCATGTTTTGATAGGGTACCTTGAATGCATATTCTTTAATAGCTTTGATGACATCTTTGAAGAGGATCTTGCTGGTGAGCGTATATCCGTGGTAAATAACAGGCTCGCCTTCGCTGCCATCCCAGCAGTCCAACTCCAAGCAACGGCAGCTCTTTGTCAGAGCCCTGAGGACCACGCCGCATGTGAGGCTATTGTTTGGCAGAGATGCACACCGCGCAAGGCAGGATTTCCTAACCAGTTAGGCTTCTACGTGCACATTTAAATTTATATTACTGTATAGACGCTTTTGTCCAAAAAAAAAAAAGTGCAAGGGAAGTAAGTGGCACATTACGACGCGCTGTCAAGGACATATGCATAAATGCAGATAGGGTGAGCTTCAAACGAATGCCCAGGCAGTAGTGTACGCAGTATTGGAGCAACAGCTACACTAGAAAGACAGTGCAACATTAAGAACATTTGAGGTGTATGTAGTTGTATTAGGCTAATAGAAGTAGTAATGTAACAGGTTGACATCACAATGTAATTATAACAATAAAGGAAACCGAAGTCTGCGGGTAGCTTGAGGTTTCTTGGCGATTAGTTTACCGTATGTAGGCTTCTGTGCTGCTGGGACCTTTGAGCTGGTCTTCCATTAGGTAGGTGTTGTGGGAAGAGGAGATGAAGTAATGGCTCAGGGGTCTGGTCATGTCCTGGTAAACATCCTTGTGGGCAGGGTTTAAGATCATACCCTCCGGCTGGTTCAAGTACATCAAGAATCCATCTTTGGTCATGTGTTGCTTCTCTTTAGCTGAAAGGCCCGGAAGAGAAATGTGTCAAATGAACAGGTGTAATTATAGCAGCCCAGAACCATATAAATAATGTCAACAAGTATATGCAAACATTTTAACTACCTTGTCGGCTGATTGATATTTTTTTTCCTTTATACAGAAAGCTTAATTTAACTACTAAATGAAGCTAACCCATCAGTCCTCACCTATGTCATCAACCTCATACTTCTCTATGAGTTTCTGGGCATCTTCTAGGGAGACAGATTCTCGTTGCTCTTGAAGCAGGAAGTGAAGAAGGTCCCTGGCACTCATCTGGCCTCCTGTCTGGGCATACTTCCCGTAAATGACATCTATCTCCTCCCGGGAGGTCAGTAGCTTGTAGAAATCTTCGATTTCAGAACCCTCCAGGTATCCAGACTTGGATTTGTCACATTTCTGCACAACAAGACTTCAGATTTAGATTCTAGTGGTGGGTTGTTATTGACATACCTTCATTCTACATTTTTTCCATTGAGACTATTATCATTTAGTGTTGTAAATCTATTCTGGTTTGGGGCTTTTTGTTGCATGACACTTCATGATAGAGGGGCTGCAGATCACCCCACAAGTCAGTTGAAAGCAAAAGGAAAACCAAAAAGCGTGGCTTCTCTAAGCGGCTTTCAAAGGTCACTGTGTATCCGTACCTCGAAAAGCATTTCTGCATAGGCGTCATCAACCTCAATGTTGATTTCAAGCAAGAAACGCTTCAGCTCCTTCAGGCTCATCTTGTTGTCAGAGTTCTGGTCTGCCTTGCGCATGCAATTGAAGATCCAGCTGAAATTCTGATGTAAGGACAATGCACGTGGTATGGATGTGAAACCTGAGCTATTTGTTCATCAAACGGCACCCTTTAAGTATGTGGAGCTGATCATCTGGTTCGTCTTTAGTTCACATTGTTTTTTATACTTTCACCCGCCTTTTTAGGGAACAGCTTGAGACCAGTAAACTCCAAGGTACCTGGAATTCTCTCCCTGGTATCAGCCCTTCCATTCAACCCGCCTTCCACTTTGAATACCAAAGGATACTGCTCAGTCTGCTGCTGCGAGTTGAGGTTGCGCACATTGTTGATGACCTTCTCCAGGCTGTTCACCCACTTGGTAGCCTCCTCCTCAGTGCCTGCCACGAGGTCCAGGTTCTTTCGACGACCCTTGAAGATGATCGAGAAGCAGCGGTCCTCAGCAAGCTCTTCCGTGTACTTCTGGAGCTCCTCGGTACGCCGGCCAGGCCGCACCTCTGCGATATCGTCGATGGAGACTGTGAAGTGGAAGAGGGCGTGATACAGCAGTGAGTACCAAAGAGGAGGACAGCAAGACCTTTATATACCTCAGAAACTCATAACCAAGTGTGACCTTCCTCAAAAATTTTTATCCCTTCCCAAAAATACCACGGTCTGAGTTCAGAGAGCACAGCTGAGGTTTTCTGGTTCTCTAAACTCCCTGGACTCCCAGAAAGCCCTTCCTAATGGCGATTCTCAGAGCTCCAAGCCTTTATCAACAACAACACAGTATTGTGTAAGCAATGCATAATTCTACAGAGGAATTACTAGCTTGCTGCTCCATTCTAACACAGCTGTGTGTGATTAAACACTGAGGGCACTTCCTTAACTCTTTAATGTGTACATGGCTTTCCTTTTATGCTTAGAAAAAGGCCCTGTCATAGTTCTTTAGAATGAAGTTTCTGCTAAGAAGATTGGATTCCTGTTTGGAGAACAGGAATCAGTGGGAAAGGTATTGTAGGAACATAAGGATGTAGGGCAGGTCAGAACATGATTAAATGCAGTTCATAGCTAAAGTCAAACACGCCATTCACACAATCTGACAGTACAATCATCTTGCTATAAATCAGAAAAACAAAAAAAAAAATACCGTAAAACAAATATACATGCATATTCTGACAGCTTAACTGAGTAAAGTTGGGGGGGGGGTCCCAAAGCAGAACAGGGAACGAGACTGGGGTACATGCTGGATGGCCTTGTCAAACAATTATGTATCATGCATATTCAAAAAATGTGCATTTTTGGCATCTTGGCACAGTAACATCACCAGTATGCGCTCATACTAATATGAATTATGGTTTCAAAGATTTATTAGTAACTTGTAAAGGGCATATGAAGAGGTATGACTTCCCTTTTTTATATGCTATATATTTTTACTCATCCGTGAAAAGCTTGCCCCAACAAAAGCCGCGCAAGACGTATTCCAGATTTATACAGTATTACCAAAATCTCCTGTAAACATTAACGTTGATCAATTATTGATTAATAAAAATAGGTATTGCATAGCTATGTGTAATACATTTTTAAAAAATCATCTAGCCGGTTCTTTCAGCACAAAAGACAAACACACACGTTTACTTAAGCTACTTATTAGCCAATTAAATACAGCCAAACCTTTCAGCCCTACTGTATGCAGGGAGAGCAGACAATGCCCATGCACCAGGGTGGAGGTGTGCTCTTAATTTACAGTACTGTTGTAGGCAGTGAAAGAAAATGTTTTTGTGATCAAGTAAAAAAAATGCATGGGTGTATTAGATGGTTGCTGCAAATACTGGGGAGAATTTAGGTTTTGAATTTGCTAAAGTAAAACACATTGACAAACAAGATATAGTTTTATACCAACATCAAGATAATTTAAACATAATTTTATTTCACTCCTTAAGACTTGCACCATGCTGTATTTTTTACTTGAAGTACCCGTATTCAGCTAATGGAAATTATTACAAATGAATAAAAATTGCATGTAGATAAGTTTGCCGCAAACTGGCATTGATTCTGAGCTTCCACGGAGCTTTGGAATCTACTCATTACTGTGGGGTAGCTGTTCAATTGTTGGAGCCCCATAAAACATGCTGTCAGGCCTTTGTTATTTATCATCTGCTTTCCACATTATTAACTCAAGTCACTGCACAATTAAGGCTACCAGAGATCACTGTAGATGGTCAAAAATAAGCCAGAATGAGCTTATTATCTCCTAATGTACTTTACTGACAGTGCTGCAGGTCCATCATTTTTGAGTACAGCATTACATCCTGCTGAGTATTACACATGACACACATAAAGTATTTTCTCCACAACTCAGCGACTTTCATCTTGGGGCCAGAAGCAATTTCATGCCGCATATGAAGGTGTAATGTCAAGTTGGCACATGATTTGGTCATGAAGGGGGGTGGGGCCAATTTTAGGTGAAAGTACCGATTAAGCCTCTACTGAGACAAACCTGCCCACCCTCTCACTCAGAGGGCTCCTTGATTTACTGAGTTGAAAAGTCCTCAGAGGCCAGAAAGCCCCACTGTCAGTCACGACCAGTCACACAGACCTGCCCAACTATCTTGGTCATACGGTCCTCATCAAGCTACAGTGGGACTGACAGGTGTTTTATACTCATTTTGGTACCAGTCCAAAGAAATCCACATGAGCACGGGGCAAGGAACACACCAGTAATAAAAATCAGCAACAAGGAAAGCGAATCTGAGTGATAATAGCCTCAATAAAGAGATAAAAACATGGTTGATCTAGGTCGATTTCCACAAAGTATCGGATAGACGAGGCCAAACTACAGCCCAGTACCTGTCTGCTTTGAAGCGTGCATGTCAGAATGATGCTGGAAAGCTGAACGCAGTGGGTGG